CTCCTGTGACTCCTGGTCATGGTCCTTCTTAGTGGCCGGCAGTACTGAGCAGGTGTCCTGGGTGCCAGGAGATGCTTGCTTTCATTTTTGCCTTGGCTTTGACCCTGGATAGGTGGGTTGGGAGGGGCACCAAGGCCTCCTCAACACCCGCCCATGCTGAGAGTGTGTCAGCACAGGTAGGCAAGGTGGTGACTTCTCTTCAGGGAAACAGCAGCTAGTGAGGCTGCTTGGGGAAGAGGAGAGGGCTTGGTGGCCCCCAGGGCCCTGGAGCACCACCACCGGCCCCTGACGTTAGTGTCATCGTAGGAAAGATACTGTCTGACATATCCAGCAGGCCCGTTGCTGGCCCCCTGGTCCTTCCTCCAGTGAGAGCCTGCTATGTGCTGCAGAACGTGGCCCCCACCCCTTGGAGGAGGGCAGCAGCACGTGGCAGGCGGGCTGTGCTCTCCCCAGGTGTCATCTGCTGGAAGGATGCTTTACGTAGGAGACGCCCGGTGGCCCTGGCTCATGCTGCCCTTGTTTCACATTCACATACTAGGTAGTTCCAAAGAAAAGAGAACAGAGTACTTCTGGTCCTGGGTCACTTACACATAAGCACACATCTACATGCACCAGCCTCCTGAGGATGTTTGTGGGGTCTTCTGTGTACCTGCCCTGTGCACGGAGTGATGCTGGTGTGGACGAGACCTCAGGCCAGTGTGGCTGCTCAGCCCTCACTCTGTGCTTCCCCCCAGGGCTGCCGGAGTGTGGAAGAGTTCCAGTGTCTCAACAGGATTGAAGAAGGTACCTATGGTGTGGTCTACAGAGCCAAGGACAAGAAAACAGGTGGGGAGAGTCCTAAGTGTCCCCAGTGGGGCCAGCAAGGCCTGGGTAGCCAGTCCCTAGCCCATTCTAGCACAGGCAGGGGTCCCTCCTGAGGAGTCCAGTCAGTGGTGCAGGCTCAGCCTTAGAAGTCCTGGTGACAGACACCATTTTCCATAGAAGCCCTCTCTGGGAGGGAGGGGTGTTGAGCGGCCTACATCAGCTGAGGTCTAGGCAACTGGTTCTGTACCCTCTGGCCTCGACTGTGTCCACATAGCTTCAGCCCATGTTTGCTGAATGTGGGTTCATCTCTGCGTGGCCCCAGGATCTTTGGATTAGATCTTACCCTCTCCCTGTCCCTGTGCCTTGCAAACACCAGGTCTTATCTTGAGCCCCTTGGTGCCTCTAGAAACCAGAGGTCAGCCTGACTTGGCTCACTGCTGGCTGTGACAGCAGGCAGCACACTCATTTATTTTGCAGTCCTAGATATTTACTTCAGGTCATCTTGCATGCTAGGCAATTGCTGTACCACCAAATTACATCCCCAGTCCTCTTTATTTTATTTTAATATTTCTATTAGTTGTTGATGGACCTTTATTTATTTATATGTGGTGCTGAGAATCAAACCCAGTGCCTCACACATGCTAGGCAAGCGCTCTACCACTGAGCCACAACCTCAGCCCCTTATTTTATTTTTTTAAAATATATATTTAGCTGTAGAGGAACAGGATACTTTTATTTATTTATTTATTTATTTATTTATTTATTTATTTATTTATTTTTATGTGGTGCTGAGGATCAAACCCAGTGCCTCACATGGGAGACAAGCTCCCCACCTCAGAACCACAATCCCAGCCCCTCCTTTTTATATTTTGAGATGGAGTCTTGCTAAGTTGCTGAGGCTGGCCTTGAATTTAAACCTAAGATCTTCAGATCCTCCTGCCCCAGCCTTCCAAGTAGCTGGGATCACAGCCGGAACAGGAGCACCTACTATGAAATAAATGCTTCTTAAACAAATTAAGTCCTGACTAAACACACCGGAGATGTTTAACCTATTTGTGTGTTTTCTTAGCCTGTCTATCCGTGGCTTTCTTTTCAGATGAAATTGTGGCTCTGAAGCGGTTGAAGATGGAGAAGGAAAAGGAGGGCTTCCCAATCACATCTCTGAGGGAGATCAACACCATCCTCAAAGCCCAGCACCCCAACATCGTCACTGTTAGGGTGAGCTTGGCCCCCATCCTGGGCACACCCTCTCTGGGCAGGAGGCCTGGGAGAGCCAGCGGCCACAAGGGTGGGCTGGAGGACATGCCAGTACTCACAGACACTCGTCCCCCAGGAGATCGTGGTGGGCAGCAACATGGACAAGATCTATATTGTCATGAACTATGTGGAGCATGACCTCAAGAGCCTCATGGAGACCATGAAGCAGCCGTTCCTACCAGGTAACACCTGCCAGGTGACACCATGGGCACAGAGGAGGGCGCCTGCTTGCTCAGCCCTGAGCTGCAGTGCACACACGCTACCCTCTGCCACATCACAGGGGCTGTCAGAGCAAAGGCAGGAGCAGTGTCCTTATAGTGACCGTGGTGACACTCTGTGGTGTGCAGTGACCAGTAGGCACAAGGGCCACCCTGGGCTGGAAGCATTCTCAGATAACCACCTCCCAGAAGTCTCTGGTTGCTACTGAGGGCATAGATAACCCTTGAGGGCCCTGGACCTCTGGGGAGCTCACTGTGGGTTGGCCGTGCGTGTGTCCCTGTCACTTGCCAGGGGAGGTAAAGACCTTGATGATCCAGCTGCTACGTGGAGTGAAGCATTTGCATGACAACTGGATCCTGCACCGGGACCTCAAGACGTCCAACCTGCTGCTGAGCCACGCCGGCATCCTCAAGGTGGGCCCCGCCAGCCTCTCCCAGGGGTCCTGTCCCCGCCACGCTTCACAGCTTGCCCTCTGTTTCTTCAGGTGGGTGACTTTGGGCTGGCTCGGGAGTATGGGTCGCCCCTGAAAGCCTACACCCCCGTCGTGGTGACCCTGTGGTACCGGGCCCCAGAGCTGCTGCTTGGCGCCAAGGTGAGTATCAGGTCTGAGACCCTCCTTTGCCTCAAGGTGGACTCCAGGGACACTGGCCCAGGGGCCTGAACCGTGTCCTCTGGACTCCTAGGAATACTCCACAGCTGTCGACATGTGGTCAGTGGGCTGCATCTTCGGAGAGCTGCTAACACAGAAGCCCCTGTTCCCTGGGAAGTCGGAAATTGATCAGATCAACAAGGTGTTTAAGGTGGGTATGGGGACCACGCCCTGCTGTGGATGTTGGCCCTGCTGGTCAACTGGCACCCTGAGGAGCAGAAGCAGGGTATGTGCAGGATGGTTTTGGGCTGCAGTTCCCGAGGCCACAGTGTGGCCTCTCAATGACCTGTCCTCACTGAGAACCGTGACTCAGGTATCAGTGCCATAGGCCAGTGGGCAGGATGTTTCCTGGCAGGGCAGGGCAGTTCAGCTCAGGCATCCCTGTCTTCCAGGACCTGGGGACACCTAGTGAGAAGATCTGGCCTGGCTACAATGACCTCCCGGCTGTCAAGAAGATGACCTTCAGTGAACATCCCTACAACAACCTTCGCAAGCGCTTTGGGGCCTTGCTCTCAGACCAGGGCTTCGACCTCATGAACAAGTGAGTCCCAGAGATGACTGGTCTGCAGCTGTAGGAGCACCAGCCCTGAGCTGCTTACACCCTTCCACAGCTGCCCTAGTGACTCACACCCTGGTCCTGCACACCTTAGGCCTTCAGGGTACACTGGAGGCTCTGAGGTGGCAGGTACCCCCTTGGCCTCCCACCCCTGCCTGCCCACAGCACCCACCTGGTCAACACAGCTGGGCTCTGGGCCCTGAGGCAACCATGCACACCGCATCCCCTCCCACATGGTGCCCAGTGCCCCAAAGCTGTTTCTTCCAGGTTCTTGACCTACTTTCCCGGGAGGAGGATCAATGCTGAAGATGGCCTCAAGCACGAATATTTCCGCGAGACCCCTCTCCCCATTGACCCCTCGATGTTCCCCACATGGCCTGCCAAGAGCGAGCAGCAGAGGGTGAAGCGGGGCACAAGCCCCCGGCCCCCTGAGGGTGGCCTGGGCTACAGCCAGCTGGTGAGGGGCAAAGCCCACAGGGTCCCCAGAGGGGTGGGCTGTCTGGGTCACAGCCCTCACAGTATCCACTTCACTTTGCAGGGGGACGATGACCTGAAGGAGACGGGCTTCCACCTCACCACCACCAACCAGGGGGCTTCGGCTGCAGGCCCTGGCTTCAGCCTCAAGTTCTGAAGCTCAGCAGCCTGGCTGGTGGTGAGGACCCAGACCTCAGCCAGGGCTGACCCCAGGCTGGGAGCACCTCCTCTCACTTGGCTTCCACGTGGTGATTTTTATATTATTTTCATTTGTACATTTGTAGAATTAAATTGCATTTTCCTTGCTGTGGAAGGAAAGGCTGACTGCTTTCAGCTGTGTTGACGTGCCCAGTGGGGAAGGGTGTATGTCTACAGATGCCAGTGTAAATGGACACCCCTCCCCATGAGCCAGCTTGGACTGGAGCAGCTCGGGGTTCACTGCTTGTCCATCTTGGGGCTGGAGGCCTGTCTGCATAGATAGCAAAGCTTTCAGACTAGCCCTGTCCACAGGTTTAGGTCCCATCCTCAGCCCTGGGCGTGGGTCAGCCTCAGCCACAGCGTGCTGCATGCACCTGCCTTCCTGTTGAGATGCAGCAGCTAGGCTTGAGGGAAGCTCTGGGATGGCCTTGCAGCCAGCTGGCCCCAAACTGCATCCCCTGGGTGCACCCAGGAGGAGGGCTTCTAGCTACCTGGGCTTGAGGATGACTGGATCAAAAGGGACCCCATGTGGGCTGGTCCTTCTGTTGGGTTGGCCTCCTGCTCCTGATCTAATCAAGGAGTGTTAGCCTTGTGCAGCAGCAGATGCTCACCACTTCCCTTGGGCTTGTACCACCCCCCAAACTGGTCCTCAGCACCCACCCCAGGTGATATTGTGGGCACTTGGGCCTTAGTTTGCCCGCTGTGTTTCTGAGGCTATCTTGGCAAGGCTGTTCTCACCTTGAAGGTCATATCCTTATTCTTAGAGTCTGTGCCCCTCAGAATCCCCACATCCCAGTGATAGGCCAGATGGGGGCCACCCACCCAAGAAATGGCACAGACACATCAAACACAGAGCTTTATCTGTCAGGCCTCTGTGGCCCAGGAGACGAGCTTAGCTCCTCACTCGGACACGCCAGGAGTAGGTGGTGAGCACGTGCTGGTGCCGGCGGACCACACACGTGTACGTGCCCTCGTTGACAGCGTTGGCGATGATGCTCAGGCGAGCCTCACCCAGGGCCAGGTAACCAGGGTAGGAGAATTCGAGGGGCTCCTGGTCCTTGTACCAGCTGTGGGAGGAGGGTCCTGCATGCCTGCCCTCTGCCCCTGAAGGCAGCCTGAGCCCCCAGGACATCCCCCCTCACCCTGTAGGACCCTGGGCAGCTCCACCCCCTACAACTTGGACCCTAGACAGATTCCCCCCAGGATGGGCCTGGCTAGCAGTGGTCACTTACTACACTTTGCCTTTCTTGTGGAGGATCTTCTGACCACATCGGAAGGTCACATTTCTGCCCTCTGGCACCAGCCTGGTTTTGGTCCTGGGGGGTGATGGGGTGGTGGCCACCGTGGGGAAGGGAAACTCTGCACGTGGCAGGGGAAGGTGTCACATCAGTGTGCCCCTCCCCAGACTGGGGCCACAACTGGAAGACCCAGGCATGTGACCCTGCCCCAGCCCCTGCCCCAGCCGTCACCATAGCAGAAGTCGCAGCTGCTGGGGCACAGCCTCTTCATGAGCCTCCTGCGGGTGTCACAAAAGCCCTTCCGTGCCCAGGACGCGCACACAAACAGCCGGTCCAGGCAGCCTGAGGGAAGGGCAGCCTGGTTCAGGGCCCACCTCAAGCCTGCCCACCCCTCACACCACCTTCTCCAAGACACCCACCGTAGAGCCGGTGCAGCCCCCACAGCTCATCCTGAGACAGTGCCTTCCAGCCACGCAGCGTGGCGTTGAGGTGCATGAGTGCCCGGCTGTGCTGGGAGTGCATCAGGCCCAGTGCATGGCCGATCTCGTGGGCTGCCACGTGCACCAGGTCTGTGAGCCACACACCTGCTGACCCTGTGAGTTAGCTCCCTGGAGCCCCAGCCTGGCCCTGCAGCCCTCAGGCCTGACCCCCAAGCCCAGCACATCTGCTGGAGTGCGGTGTGGAGCCACCCTTGGCCACAGCCAAGGGAAGATAAGAATGTTCTGCCTGGGCGGTGAGCTCGGTCCCCAGGAATGCAGCCCCAGCTCCCCTCCAGCAGCTTGGGGGAGGCAGTCTCAGGGCTGCCAGAACCAGCAGCAGCCCCACAACCTCCCTTTCCTGGCCTGCTTAACCCCAAAGAACAGGACCCTCCACACCCTAGGAACCCCTGCTCTGCCCCCAAGCCCTCTCCACACAGCCACCCTGGTGCAGACAGTGCACCCGTGGGAGGCGGGGCACCTTTCTTCCAGCTGTAGCGTGTGGGGCCCAGGACCCAGTGCTCGCTGTCGTCAAAGTGGATGCCACCGTGCGGTGGGAAGAAGGCGTGGGCCAGCTCGCCCGTGGGACCATCAAAGCAATGGTGCAGAGCAGAGACCAGGCAGTCCGTGTGGTTGGCTGGGTAGAAGCCTGTGGAGAGGGGAGGGCTGAGATAGAGCCCACTGGGCTGGGCAGGGGCAGGGGCACAGAGCACCTACCTATCCGCAGGTCGCTGGGCTGCTCAGGGGCCACCTCACGGAAACTAAAGGGGGAAACGTCGCTCCACATCCGGAAAGCAGCAGCCAGGCCCCGGCGAGTCTCACGGGGGCTCAGCAGATTCCGAGGGAAGGAGAGGATCCTGGGGTGAGGGCCAAGGTCAGGGACAGGGGCTAGGCTGTGGCTGAGCCCCCACCCTAGGGCCAGGTCGCACCTGTAGGTGAGGTTGAAGTGGTCCCAGCGCAGCCTGGCCGGGGTCAACGTGTAGCGGCGTTTTCGGGGCACCAGCGGGGAAAATGGGCTGGGGACCTGGGCTGTAGGGACCCCTGGTGCATCCAGCGAATAGGCCTCTCTCTTCACGGGAAGAAAGTGGGCATGGGGAAGTCGTAGGGACGGTCCCCACACCCCAGAATTGGTATGGAAAAGGGACTGTGGAAAGGGGGGGGTGGAAGAGCAATGGGGTGAGGGAGGGTTTGGACAGCTCCCCCCCCCCCTTTAAGTTTTCTGCCTGAGCGAGAGAAAAAGGTTACTGAGAGCCGGTGGGAATGGGCGGAGCCGGAGACAGATGCAGCCTCCCACCTCCGGTCACGCTCAGACCCAGGGACTCACATCCGCATCCACAGACCCCCACCCCAGGTGGTCCCGCCGGGCCACAGACCGGACCGACTCGCGCACCTGCCTTCCACCCAGCTCACCTGCCCTGCGCTCCAGGCCTGCGCCGCAGGGGCCCCGAGCCGGGCCAGCAGCAGGAGCGCGGGGAACAGGCACAGCCCGCCCAGCACGGCCCCGAGCCGGCGGTCCTGGACGGCCCCTGACACCTTCGGGGGAACGCAGGCCCCCCGGCCCATGGCAGACTCGCTGTCGGGCTCGGGGCCGCTGGGGCAGCGCGGCGCGGGGACCTGGGCCATGGAGCCGCCGAGGAGCGGGGAGGGGAGGCGACGGCAGGCGGCTCGGGTTACAGCCCAGTGGGGGGGGTGGGGGGGCGCGGCGCCCTTGAGGGAAACCAGCTGGCCTGTCGGGGAGCGGCCCGGGCTCCCCCGGGGGCTTCCGGGACTCGGGACCTGTGGCCGGTGGCGGTGGCCCAGACACGGCCTGCTGGGTGGGGTCGCTTGGAGTGGGATTGGCCCTGGGGCTCGCGCTTAAAGTGGCGTCAGTTGGGGGCTCCCAGGCCGGTGGTGAGACTTCAGGACGGGTTGGCTTTTCCCCCAAGTGGAATTCCACCCCAACCCCGTAAACCCCCAGTGAGACCCGGGAGCGAAGCGCATCGTGACCCTGTAGCCAGCTCAAAAAGCGAGAGGGGAGGGGACGCAGAGCGAGGGGACGTGGCAGTGAGTGTTGGGCGGCTGAAGGGGCAGGCGGCGAAGGCCCGCAGAGGGCAAGGCGTAGGGAGCTTCGAGGGTCCCGCGAAAAGCCGGGAAGGGGCTGGCGGAGGGGCGGGCCTTGGGCCCGGAGGGACCCCCGAGGAGGCTGGCTGAGGTGGGGAGGGTGCAGGGCCGGGAATCCCCCGCCAGGCCGCGGGGAAGGGGTTCTTGGAGCCAGGAAGACGGGAAGCAAGGCCAGACGCCGGGCGCGGAGGTCTGGAACGGCCCTGGCTGGGGGCGGGGAGCGGTGCTCAGCCTGGAAGGCTCGACGGGGCGGCCCGAAGGCAATGCTGGCCGGAAGGCGGGATCCTGGGGGACGCTGGGGGTAAGGGGCTGGGAGTTGGGGGTGAGGTCGAGGAGCTGTCTGCTCCGGGCCAGATGTGGTCAACGTCCTGTCCCTCCCCATCCTCCAAGCCGGCTTCGAGCCCAGGGTGACAGCGGCGTTCTGGCCAGCCGGGACAGCGCCAAACAGCTGGCGGGCGGCCGGGCTGAGCAGTGCGGGTGGTTCTTGGAAAGCGCTGGATGCAGGACTCCCCTCTTCGTGGCTAAATATCTGCTCCAACAAACCGGCCTCCCTCTGCATGCGCCCTGCCTCTTCCACAGGACCATGTTCCCTTCGTCCCTGCTCAACTTCCCGAGACCATCAACGGGAGCCCGGCCCGAGACTCGGCACATACCCAGGAGGCCCCGGACACGGAAAGCTCCTGGCGGGGGGGGGGGGGCCCGAGGTGGGCCTTGGCTTTCCAGGGGAGGAAGGGCCACCCCGTTTGGCAGAAGCACAGCGCGTGGCCTGGGTCAGTGTCGTGCCGCGCCGGTGGTGTTTCTGCCACGGGGCAGAGTCGACCCAGGAGCAGCAGCAGGGCAAGGTGGGCGGCGAGGGCCACCCCAGGCTCACCCGCCCCTACCGCCCAGAACCCCACGGCCCGCCCAGTGCCCCAGGCAGGCAGGCAGCAGGCGGCAAAGTCCGAGAATCTTTTTATAAAACACAGGGGTGCGAGGCAGCTCCAGGGGGCCGCGCGTTCACACGAAGATCTGGATGCGGTCGCGGATGGGCTGGCGGCAGATGGGACAGGCGCTGAGCGCGGCGCCGCAGGGTGCGCACGCGCCGTGGCCACACTGGAACACGAGGCGGATGTGGCTGTCGATGCAGATCGGGCAGGTGATGCGCTCCTCCATCTGCCGGTAGCGGCTCTGAAGCTCCTCCACCAGCTGCCGCGGCGGACCAGGCGCCGGGGTAGCACTTGCCACCTCGGAGCCGTCTGCGGGGGACCGGGTGGGGAGGAGTCAGCCGCAGGCGGGTAAATCGGGGTGGGTGGGCGTGAGCGCGCGCGCACGGCAGGGCCCCACCCACCTACCTGGACGCAGCTTCTTGTTGATGACCACCTGGCACCTGATGCACTTCTTCATCCGGCGCGCGCACTCTGCAGAGAGCAGCATGGTTGGGCGGGGCGGGGCGGGGCGGCCCGAGACGCCCTGGCCCTCGGCGGCCCCCACTCACCTTCGCACACAGTGCGGTGCTGGCACGGGGAGAACAGAACTAGCAGCGCCAGCTCCGAGCACACCAGACACTCAGCAGCCTCGGGCCCCGCAGTGGCAGCCACGTGCAGGTTCGTCACCGTGTTGGGAGTGCTGAGCACATGCCTGGGGCCCGGGACCGCGCTCCCGCCGCCGCTGCCGCCGGCCTGTCGCTCCCTGCAGTTGGAGGAGGGGGCTTGAAAAGGCCCCTGGCTGTGGAGGGCTCCCCCCTGGTGGTGCGGCCTACCGGAAGCGCTGGGCGCAGCCCTGCAGAGCTTTGAGCACCCGGCTCTCTGTGGCCAGGTCCAGAGGGCTTCGGCCACGATGGTTGGAATAGGTCACATCAGCACCCTCCAGTGCCAGAAAGCATGCCACCGCAGCACCCACCGTCAGCTCCGAGCTGCCTGGGAGGCCTGAGGCCTGTAGCTGGGCAGCAGGACAGATGCTGTTGAGGATGGGCACTGGCGCAGGCCTGAGGGAGGCCTCTGGGGCGCCAGGCAGCCCCAGCAGCCTGTGCAAGGGGCACCCCTATCCTCGGGGTGAAAGCCAAGGGTACCCCCTTCCTGTATGAAGCTGTTAGCTCCAGGAACAGTGCAGAGGCCAGGCAAGAGAGGTGCCCTTGCTAGGCAACCTAAAGAACGAGTTCTAAGATGCCACCCCAGCTACCACACCATCCCCTCCCCAGGATGGCCAGGGGTTGCACAGAATGGCTCCTCTAAATCATGCCCCCACCCCAAGTTGCCCCCTTCCCCAGAGCCTGACTCCCTGGCCCGTCACCAGAGATGGAAGGTGGGCCCACCTCTCCAGCACCCACTCCTCACTTCCTCACCCTGGACAGCAGCTGCAAGGGCCCTGGGTCCCCCCCAGCCCTGTCAGCCACCAGGGGGAGCAGCTGATGGCGCTGCAGCGCCACATGCAGGGCCGTGTCCCCCTCCTCATCCTCGGTGTCAACACTGCAACCAGCATCCACCAGCAGGGGCACCAGCCCCACATGGGCCTGCTGCACGGCCAGGTGCAATGGGGACTGGAGCTTCCGGTTGCGCACGTTCACATCACAGCGGCCCTGGGGAGTGGGGGACAAACTCAGCCCAGAGACCCCCTGGGCCCCTGCTTTCCAGTGTGTGTGTGTGGCGGGGGAACCCTGCACGCACCTCTTGGATGAGGATCTGAGCCACCTCACGGTGGTTGTTGAGGGCAGCCAGATGCAGCGCAGTAAAGCCATCCTCCTTCTTGGCGTCCACCAATTGCCGGGCCCGTGCCAGAATCCTCCTGACGGCTCTGTGAGAGCAGGGAGATCATCCCCAGCCTTGGGCTGTTCCCGGGGTGGCCAGGTGGCAGGGCAGAGCCTGGCAGCCACTGGTGCCCACCCCACACTCACAGCGCGTGGCCCTTGAGGGACGCATGGTGCAAGAGTGTGAAGCCCTGGCTGTCAGCAGCAGCAACGTTGATGCCCGGAACCTCGGTGAGGACCTCCACGATGCCATTGGCGCCGGCCCCCGCGGAGATGGCAGAGTGCAGAGGTGTATTGGCATGGGCATCCTGCCAGTGGGGGCCAGTGGTCACTGAGAGGTGACTGTCCCTGGAGTCAAGCTGCCTCCTTAATCCAGGGTTGGTTAGGGTCAAGGGCACCTGGGGACCAACACTCACAGGAAGGTTGACATCACAGCCACGCTCACATAGGATCCTCACCACCTCCAGGAAGCCCCTCTGCACAGCCAAGTGCAGCGCTGTGCTCCGGGCACCATTGAGGGCATCTGCCCCACACCCTGCACTCAGGAGCATCCGGGCAGCCTCAGGCTGGTTCCTGGTGGGAGAGGGAGTAGGAGGGAGCACTGTGCTGGCTAGACCCACAGGCGCAGCCCCTCTGGACCCCAGCAGCCTCCCCAGCCTCACCCCAGGGCTGCATAGTGCAGTGCAGTGTGGCCCTCATCATCCAGCAGGTCCACGCCTGCCCTTGCCTGCAGCAGCAGTCGCACGAGCTCCACCTGGCCCAGGTACGCAGCCACCTGCAGGGCAGTCCTGCCCTGGTTCTTGGTGTCCACCTGACAGGAGAGTGAGCAAGTGAGTTCAGGACCTGCCACCTTCTGGCCTTCCTGCTGGCCACTGGGAGGAGGTCAGGGAAGGGGCCTGCCTGTTCTGGGTGCCTCCGCAGCAGGTCAAGAGCCCGGGCCACATTGCCCAGCGCTGCCTCCACCACCAGCCTCCCTGGGTGCTCTGGATCACTCTTCTGAGCCCGCAGCTTGTCCAGGGCCACACTCAGTGAACCTGGGGGCAAAACTGGGTAAGTGATGGCCAAGGGCCACCCTGCCTCCCCCAGGCTGCCAGGGCTGGTGCACACTTTTGTTCTCCCGGGCACGCTCAGCCACGTCCAGATTGGTGTCCTCCTCTGGTCGGTAAGCCACCAGGCAGGAAGGACTGAAGGTCCACCGCTGCCCACCGACTGCCACACGCAGGTTCCCATCTCCAAATACCTTTACCACTTTCCCGATGCGGCCCAGGGCCTGAGGGAGAAATGTAGGGTCACAGCAAGTCTTAGCAGGGAAGGTCACAACACAGGCAAGGGGACTCACTGGGGCCATGTCATCTGTCCACTCGCCATGCCCAGCCTGTAGTCGCTTCACAGTGTCCAGGTCATCGATGACACGAACCACATCGCCCACCCAGAAGGAGTTGTGCTGGGTGACAGAGAAGCAGGTAAGGGACTCCCCCCAGCCACATGTGGCCGCCCATGGACGGGGAGGGTACCCCCAACAAGCTCCACAGGTCAGGCAGGCATGAACCTGACCCCAGTTCCTGCCCCAAGCACAACCCAAGGGTCTGGTTGGACAAGGACCATAGGTGACCAAAGCAGCCCCAGGTGGCCCAGCCCCAGAGGATCAGGGGCGACAGCTGGGGAAGCAGCTGGGCAGCCATCCGGATCAGACAAAAGCCAGCTCTGGGAAGGTGTGAAGGCCCACGCGGCCTGTACATTGACCCTGCACAGTCGGGTCAATACCCGAGTGCCCCAAAGGCCGGCAGCAGGGCGGGGCCCCGGACTTAGGGGCGGAGCCAAGGGCGACGCCCCCCCCTCCTGCGAGGAGCACAGACGCTGGCACTGCTCTGCAGTGCCCCCTCAAAGGCTCTCCACCCGGTGTCTTAGGCTGGCTCGTCCCCGCCCCAACACCTGCTCCCTCTGTCCTCCATCCCCTAAGTCCTGCTTTCCAGGCAGCTCACTATGTCCACCCTGTCCACGCTGCGTGCCCACCAATCTGGGCCCAGCATCCACCTCCCACTCACAGGTAGCATCTTAGAAACCAAGCCCAGTACCCCACTTCCAGCCTACTCTGGTGTCCACCTTCCTTCCATCCTCAGGACAGACAGACCCTGGCCTGCTGGCTGCAGCCTCAGGGTGCTTCGCTCTCCTCTGGGTCTCTTCATGCCTGGATCCCCTTTTCCTGGGCCCCACCAGGCTGCCCCTTCCTTCAGATCTGGGGACTCATGGGGGCACCAGGGCCATAATCCTGCCTGCCCACTCCCAGGGCTGCCTAAGTTCACGGAAGGGTTACACAAGTGAATGGGTGAGGCTCAGCCTAGCCCCTAGGCACCTTGGTGAGAGCCCCGGGGTGGAACGTCCAGCGGGTCTCGTGGTTGAACTGCACACGCACGTCCCCACGGTCGGTGATGCGGTGCACGGTGCCCGTCTGTCCGATAAACTGTGGCAAGTCGCAGAGACTATGGCTGGGGGTCCGGAGGGCTTGGGAGGGGAGGGCACACAGGGCTCAGTGGGGCGGCAGCTCACCTCTGCCATCCTGGGGTTCCAGCCGCCATGGCCTTCCTCCATGTCCCTCAGGACGTCTATGTCCAACAGACACTTGACCTTGTCCCCACGCTGGAAGGGCTGGCCGTCCGCACTCACCCTGCGTTGCAGCTCTGCTGGCTTGCCTGGGGGGGGGGTTGGCAGGCCAGGCCTCAGGCAACACCCCCACCCAGGACATCACAGGCTAGCCCCTGCCCAACCAGGGCAGGAGGGCAGCCAGTGTTGGTGGGGCCAGTCCCATACCCAGCCTGGGGAGGTGCTCCTTGTAGTAGAAGCCGCCAGCTGCCTCGCCTATACACTTGAGGTCCACCTTGCCCTTGTGGCCCACGCGGTACACATTGGTCGTCCCATCTGCCCATGTCACACTGGCCACACTCCGGCCTGTCTCCACATCCCAGCCACGGATGTCCACCACACGACCTGGCTTGCCTTCCCCTCCTGGGGAGACAGTGTCCCCACCCAAAGGCTGGGCCTCAAGGCTGACCATAGCCAACTGCCTCACCTCCCATCTCTCCCTCCGGCCACCACTCACCATCCTGTGAGCCCCACTCCCAGTCGGGGCCTCGCACCACCTTTGCACCCTGGAAGATGCCCCTTAGTGGGATCCTAAGGAGACCCTGGCGGGGACTCAGGGTAACACTGCAAGAGAGTGAGTCCTGAGCCATGCAGGAGAGAGGTATTACGGTCAGGCCCCTGCCCTGCCCAGACTAGCTCCTCCACCCCCAGGCTCCTTCTCACACCAGGTGGGATCTACCAGATGGGTATCCTGGCACCCAGTTCCTGCCCATGAATGCCCTTCCCAGAAGGGCAGTGCCTTCCACACTCAGGGGGAAGGCTCTGTGGGAGCTATCAGATGCCCTTGGCTGGGAGGGGACTTGGGCTGACTCTCAGGGCACAGCTTCCTGTGTAGTCTGGATAAGCCTGCCCTCCCAGTGGGTGGGGCCTGGCCTGGCCAGCAGCACACAGCCACTGGGCCCTGGAACACACATGGGGAGGCTCCAGGAGACAGCTGGCAACAGGGAACAGGGGTGGTGCCTCTGGGTGCCTGGTCCAGCACAGACCCTCTGACTACAGCACAGCATTCTGGACAGCCAGCACCATGCTGTGCCACAGGGCTGGGTCCAGAGTGGGCTGCCCTGCCAGAGGCCACAATGCCAGGCCTGGCACCTCCATGGGAATGCTCGCTGCTTCAATGCCACTGCTGCTGGCATGGCCACACACAGGCCACACTCAGTGATGCAGACTGCAGCTGCACCAAGGGGTGCCAGCACAGAGAAGCCATCCACACACCTCCAAGTGGCTGAGGAGGGCCTGTGCTTCCCTGAGACAGGCAGGGGGGGACTCACGGGCGTGAGTGGGCCGTCTCATAGCGCTCGAAGGCGTGGGTGAGGTCGTGCTTGTTGTGCATGTAGCACTGGGTGCAGAGGTCGTAGTCGAAGCAAATGCGGCACTTCCAGCGCATGCCCCGCAGCCCATGCTTCTTACAGCAGTCGCAGATGATGTTGGGGTGGCGGACGCCTGGGGGCAGGGTAGGGTCAGCGGCAGTGACCCACCAGGGCACACTGACCCTCCCACTACCCGTGCTGCCACGCACCAATCTGCGCATTGTCATAGAGCAGCAGGTCGTGGGCACCCTGGTAGCCGGCGCGGTAGTTGGTGCGAGTGCCCTGGTCCCACTGCACGACAACTGTGCGGTCTGGGGTGGAGGGGCTGCCATGGCGCCCGAGCTCCACCACGGTGCCCACGCCGCCCTCGCCGCCATCCTGCTGGCCCCACTTCCAGTCCACGCCACGCACCACTCGCATGCCCACCTGCACACCCGCCTGGGGGTCAGGGTCCATGGTGCAAGGGGCTGCTCAGGACCTGTAAGCAGAGAGCACCCTCAGGCCATGTCGGGAGGCCAGGCCCAGCCTACCCACAGACACCTGTCTAAAGGGCCACCTGGGAGAGAGGGCAGGCCAGGAGCAGAAAGCACCAACACAAAAGCGGGAGGCAGAGGGGCAGGAAGTAGGAACAAATGGCCTGGGTCCAGGGGAGGTGGGAGCACAGGTACACAGGTCAGCACCAGGGGAGGCCAGGAGACAAGGTGGACGGGGAACCTGGCCTGGAAGAGGGACAGCAATCAGACTGAGCAGGGTGCAGCACATGCTAGTAAACTGGTTTCAGTCGGTTGGTTTATTTAGGATTTTGGCTGGTTGCTGCTGGTTCCTGTGGTGCTGGGGATGGAACCCAGGGCCTCGCTCATGCTAGGCTGGCTTCTGCCTGAGCCATACCCCAGCTAGTTGATTGATAAGGTAAAACAACTCAGCCTTTGGGAGAAAACAGACTGTTTCTTGGTGTAGCCTCGTTAGACAGGTACTGAGTGGAGGGCTGCTGTTCAACAGGACCCCATCTGGCAATTGCACAGGCAGCAGGGCCCGAGGTGAGCTGCACAGAGCATGGCTCCCACGACTTGCATCCAGAACAGGGAAAGAACTCCCACAGCTCCACGAGAAAGTCAGACAAGCAGCAAGTTGGGCAGGATGCAGGCTCACCAGACACCAGCCCACACAGCACCACCAGGATGTTCACAGGAAGGGCACAGCCCTTGGCCCCCGCGAGTCAGGGACAGCACAGTGAGGGCACATGGCCCTATTAGGACCTACTCTGGAGAAGTCTGGCCTGGTCTAAGGTGGCACCCTTACAGAAGCACCTGCCCTGGTCCTTCAGGGAGTACTGGGACCTACAGCGAGGTTTTAGTCCCCAAGGGAGCACAAACCCACCTCACCATGAATGACAGCAATGCGCAGTTCACAAACAGCTTGGAGGACAAGAGCCTAGCATGAGAGGCCACCACAGGCACTACACTTATAGCAAGTTTGCAAAAGCAACAAGCCAAGTCACAGCCTTAGGAGGCCAACCATGAGGCTGGTCCCAGGCGTTCCTTCAGACCTACAGCCTGAGAATTCTGTATTGAGCTAATCTTGAAGGAAGTCTTGTTAATACAAATGCATCTAAAAGACAGGACGTGAACAGGGGGAGGGGACACAGGGACCACGAAGGAGTCACCTGTACTCTCTCATTTAAATGTCGGGCCCATGGCTTGCGAAGGAGCTCCCCCGGGAGTAGGGGACAGCACTCATGCTCAGCTTCCAACAGAGGCTGGGGGTTGCCCTGGCTGGCTGGTCGATCAGCCAATGTCCCTCCAGCTCCAGATGGGGCCTGGGGGCCTTGCCCAGCCACAGAACAGAGGCAGCCTAGGCCCGAGAGTGACCAGGGGAGAGATGAACACATCACCCCTCCAACCGGGCTCTGCTTCAGGTCCCTGTTCCTGCCCCAGCGGGACACTCAGTCTGGAAGCCACAGGTGGGCACAGGAGGCCCCCACTCCAGCTCTGCTTAGAGATGGGTGTCTGCAGCTAGAGGCAGAGGCGGGAAGCCCGCAGGCCATCCCAGCACCAGTCCAAAGCTTATGTCCAGCTCTTGGTCTGTACCTGCTTCAGATCCTCAGGGACAAGAATCATCTGGTCAACTCAGCATTGGGCAGTTCTCCCTGCTGCCCACCACCTAGGACCACCAGGGCTGGCATAGAAACAGGAGAATTAAAGCTCACTCTCTCCTGAACCAGGAACAACTAGGAGCCGTCCTGAGCAGCAGAGTTCTGCTTTTTCAGAGAGCACCGCGCTGGTCTGGGACCTCCCCTCTCTGGGCTCTTGGGACCCTGACAAGGTGTGGCACTGAGGCCCAAGGCCAGAAGGCACAGCACCAGTGGCCAGTGATGCCTCAGGCCCAGATAGCCCCAGGCTCTTGGGCACCTGCGAGTCAGGGGAGGGGTCTGGTGGGCAGCCACCTCTGCCTTTCTAGCCGTCTCTGCCGCCTGTACAACACTGCCACCCACATCTCTGCTACCACAAGTACAGCCAGAGCAGCCCCTCACTGCCCTTAGGGCCACCAGAATGCCCCACACAATGCCATTCAACTCCCTTGCCCAGACAGCAAGCCCACAAAGGCAGGGCCTCCAAGGGCTGCCCCCATGCCCACTCATGGCCATATCCCTGGCTGGCTAGCCCCTGCTGGCCTCCACAATCACTGAATGCATGATAGCGAGTAAAACTCCAGCACCCAGGAAGCTTGTGCTCCTGGGACAACTAGCAGACCCAATGTCCTAGGGGCCCAGCCGGCCAGGCCACTCTTGCCTCACCCACCACTGTGTGCTCACCACATCCCAGCACTGGAAGTCATCGGGCAGCACGGGTACACCTGGCCCTGGGGCCCAGTTCCACTAGCTGGTCCAGCTCCCTTGACCTTTTGCTGGAAACACTCCAGTCCCCGTGAAAGCTATCTGGGAGGGACATCACACCTTTCTCCAGCAGGACCAAGTGGCTCCCCACTGCCTGATCTGCAGAGTCACCAGCTAGGGGCAGACTGTGCTGGGCTTCTGCTCCCTGGGCCCTTGCAATGAGTTCAGCTTCTGTCCACGGAGATCCTGGGAAAGCATCGGCACAGCCAGGGCAGGCATCCCACCCTTCCCCAGTCTCCTCTGCACAGGGCCCTCCTTGCAGGCATGGCAGAGGCAGGGGAAGTAGAGACGGTGACCCCCAACCAGCCCACTGACCTCCATGATACACACACACCCCCTCCCTCCTGCCAGGAACCAGTCACCCTAATCACAGCTGGGAGGCAAACTGAGGAGACAGTCCACACCCCGTACCCCTGTCACAGGCAACCACAGGCCCAACAGGAGGCCATACCAGCAGGGACCTGTGACCAACCATCCCTGAACCCGGCCCAGCACAGAGAAGACTTGGAGCAGGAAGACCCAAGTACTGGGAGTTGGTGCTGTGGTCATTCTGCAGCCAAGCAGCTTGCCGGTCTCTGTGAACCCAGCTTCCCAGCCTGAGCCTGCCTGCGCAGGCCAGCTGCCATGTCTGCCTGCCAGCTATCGCCCCACCGGCCACTTGCTGCTGGGCCTTTTACAAGACATGGGGGGGGGTGCCCAACCTCTCCCTCAGGAGAAGGGACAGAGGCAGGGAGATCAGAGTGGAGGGTGTCTGGCAATGTCTGGAGAAACTTGGGACCACACCTCAGCTGACAAATGCCTAGCAGGAAGGCCACCAGGTAGTCCAGCCTGTGACAGCATCTGCCTGCCACCACACCTGGTAGTTTTAGAACAGCCAAACAACTCCCCTCAGCCCTAGCCCGCAAACCGCCACATTCTGGAAGACTATCACTCAGATGAGCCCACCAGAGACAGCCGCAGCCAGGCAGAACGTGGGAAGGGCTTAGTTAAAATACCAGCACCCACTGACACCCAGGACTGCCTGGACAAGAAGGGAGGACCTGGAGGAGCGCACACAGGGCTCGGTATGCTGGCTTGCCCCCGGGTGCCAAGGTGTGAGAACAGAGAAGCACCAGACATGGTGGCCCCCAGGGCTCCTTCCCTGCAGCACCCTCCATGCTACATGGCATCACGGCTCTGGTTAGGGCCTCTGCCTGAGCTGGTCTTCTGACAAAGCCCCCTTGCCACCCTCTCATAGTTACCACAGGGACAGACAAGGGACAGGGCTTCTGGGACTCAGAAACACAGGGATTTGGCACCCTAGGACCCTCTCCGGGAGACCTGACAACTTTCCCTCACCCTTCACCTTTCCCTCACCCCTGCCTGGCCTGGGTCACTGTGGTTCCTGGGCCCGGCATGTCATTGCTGGTCATGTTCCCCCTGCCTTTGAGCTCCTGTGCCTTGTCTCAGGGCTCACTACTTATTATGGTTTTGACATAAAGAGTCCCCCCAAAACTCCTGTTAATGTGGAACCACAGTGGTGCTCTTCCTCCCTCTCAACCAGGCCATCGACCGAGGAGCTTTCTTTAACTGGGCCTGTCCCCATGACGTGCTCTCTCACCTCGAGCCCAGAGCAATGGAGTGGGCCATCTACGGACAGAACCTCTGAGACCATGAGCCCCAAATAAACCTTTCCTCCTCTAACTTGTTCTTGTCAGGAATTTTGGTGACAGTGATCCAAAAGGTAAACACGACTTCATCTCAAAAGGTCCCACCAGGGGGCTGGGGATGTGGCTCAAGCAGTAGTGCGCTCGCCTGGCATGCGTGCGGCCAGGGTTCAATCCTCAGCACCACATACAAAGATGTTGTGTCCGCTGAGAACTAAAAAATAAATATTAAAAAATTAAAAAAAAAAAAAAAAAGGTCCCACCAGGTACACGGGGCAGTGAGTGGGGAAGAGACAGGTCAAGAATGGGGAAACAGTAGTAACCCTGAAGGAAGGGAACCCCAGGGGTTCTGGGTTTTCCCTCCCCTCTACCTGGGAAGTCTCCACTCTTAGGGCAGCATGGGGATCCTGACCACCAGTGAGGAGCCTGCCCATCTCCACTGTTCAGAGAGAGCTAGGGGACAGGAGGCCTCGAAGGTGGCCTGTCTACCTCAGAATGGAGCTTGTTGACAAAGGATTCATCCCTGCTATCACCGTCCTCCTTGGGCCATGAACAAGCACCACTCAGGGCTGGGTTGGGGAGAACCTGGCCCCCAGTGGCACAGGGCACAGCCTAAGAACAGCAGAGAGTGGATCTGCTGTCTAACTCAGCAAGTCTAGGAAGGGGCCTAGACGCCTGGACAGCACCATGCACCCAGGCAGACCACACTGCAGGCTTCAAGTGAGTCCCTTCCCAGGGTACCTGCAAGACAGGAATTCCTGAGGTAGGGCAGGAAGGAGGGCCCTGTCCTGGTGACAGACAATCTTGGACAGGGATGCCCGGAGGGCACTTCATCACCTCTGCAGCCTTCCTGGAGAGCAGGGATCCTCTGCACTTCTCGCACCTTCCTGGAAGTACCTGGGAGCCCTGAGCACATAAGCTAGGTTCCCACTGCCACCCTCCGCTGGCTCTCTCTGGGCCCAGGCTGCCACCGAGATGAAAGATATCCTACACAGACCTGCCAAAGTGTCCCAGAAACAGCCCACAGCCCTGCACAAGCCTCGACCCAGTGCATGTGGAGGGGCACCAGGGAGCACCACCCTGACAGCAGGGTCCAAGAACTGCAGCCATCACAGCCTTGGTGTGCGGGGGCCTTACTGTTGACCCACAAAAACAGCTGCCAACCACTCCTGCTTGTGAACACAAAGCCAACACTCACGCTGCAGGGTGCTAGACGCTGCGATGGGCAGTACATGTAGCCATTTCAGTGGGAAAAGTGCCCACAGTGTTGTCAACTTCTTCCCTTTGCCAGCAACCCTAGGTTTTGCCATCCATCTGGACCGAGAGCCATACTCTGGCTGACTCCCAACACCTGGAAGGCTGTGCTTCAGCTGTCCACCATGGGGCAGTCAGAGAAGGCAGCCTCAACTGGCAATTGTGCTTCAACAAAATCAGAACTCACCTCACAGCACACAGCAGCCTTGAGTCAGTACCCCAAGCACTTAGTTGCCACTTCCTGGGTCACAAATGTGCTCAGCCACCAAGATTTCCTGTGGGAAACTAGCAGCCGTTGCTGACACAGAACACAGCAAACCAAGCAGCAGGCAGCCAGCCAGTCTTACACACTCAGCATGTGGGCCTCAGGGCTGCTGCTGACCATCAGAGCAACTTTCTACAAGCAACAGCTGTCCCTTACAGGACAAAAGTACGGGGACAACTCAGGAGGATGCTGTCCACTGTCTGTGAGTATTTTATTGGAAAGTTGTATACAGCCATAGATATTAAGTCATGTGTAGTAAAGATGCAGGGTCCTTTATTCAGGAGAACATTACATAAAACTGAGAACATTCAGGACACGAGGCTGCCCTCCTACTGCCCCCTCCCTTTAACCCTGCTTGCCTCTAACACTACTCAACTGTGTGACACAATTGCTGGCAAACACTGGTACATCACAGGCTCCTGGGTGCCAGCGGAGTCCAGCCCCTAGGAAATGGGGTGAAGCCCTGAGACAGAGGCAAGGAAACCTGACCCACCATACATCAAGGCACCTGCTGGGCTGGGTGCCATGGAGCACACCTGCAATCCCAGCAGCTCAGGAGACTGAGGTAGGAAGATGACAAGTTGGAGGCCAGCCTCAGGAACTTAGTGAAACCCTGTCTCAAAATAAAAAAAATAAATAAATAAAAGGGCTGGGAATGTGATTCAGTGATTAAGTTCCCTTGGGTTCAATCCCCAGTACCATTAAAAAAAAAAAAAAAAAAAAACCAGACCTTCTGGGGGAAAAGACATACAGTGTGGCATGTCACCACTACTACTCTTGGTGACCTTGATGGAGACCCTCAGGCATACTGCAGCCTGAGGGGTCATCCCACTGACTTCCAGGCTGACCTTGGCAGGAGAGTGACCGATACTTGTTGCATCTGGAGCAACAGGTCAGAGTGGAATGGGGAGCCAGGAACCTTCCCAGAAGGGCCAGGCCTCCTGCACTTGGGCTGGTCTGTCCTTAAGTCTGCTGGCCCCATCAGGAGCCCACCTGGTACTTCTGCTTTTCTCCATCAGTTCTGAACCCAAAGGAAAAGCAAAATGATTTCTCCCTCACCCACACACAAGCACACTCAAGACACAGACACAGCCCCTCTGACAGGACATCAGGCCTCATTTAGGGCAAAGGCACCGAACCCCAACTATCAGGCCACAGCCAGTCAAGAGCTCACCTGTCTGGCCGCCCACTGTCCCCCGCCGCCCGTAACCCTGATGCCTGGAGACCTGGGACTGGCCTCTGCCGTGCTGAGCTCCAGCGCCAGCACCACACGATCCGACCCTGCGGCCAGACGAGCCGAGACCTGCAGTTACTGCCTGCAGCCGGCCGCGCACCCGGGGCTGCCGCCCACCCGCCCACCCGGAAGGGTC